ATACCACTTCACGTCCATTAGGATGGTGGTCAGTGTTGGTGGGGACGTAGAGGTATCAGACCCCTTATGCCTTTGCTGGCGATAATGGGCAATGGCGCAGCCGCTGTGGAAGACGCTGTGATTGCTTCTCAAAAAGTTAAATATGGAATTATTATGTGATCCAGCAATTCCACTCCTAGATATAGGACCAATAGAATTGAAAACAGGGACTCAAGGTGTTATTTGTACTCAATGTTCATAACAGCATTATTCACAATAGCCGAAAGGTAGAACGTACCCAAATGTTTACTGATGGATGAATGGATTCAAAAATGTGATATGGGCCGGGCATGGTGGCTCACGTCTGTAATCCCAGCACTTTGGGAGGCCCAGCGGGTGGATCACTTGAGGTCAGGAGTTTGAGACCAGCCTGGCCAACATGGTGACACCCTGTCTCTACTGAAAATACAAAAATTAGTTGTGCATGGTGGTGCATGCCTGTAGTCCCAGCTATTTGACAGGCTGAGGCAGGCGGATCATTTGAGCCCAGGAGGCGGAAGTTGTGGTGAGTCAAGAGCACTGCACTCCAGCCTGGGCAATGGGAGAGAAACCCTGTCTCCAAAAAAGTAAATAAATAAAATAAAAATGTGATATAAACATATATATATATAAATACACATACACACATATACATATATATATACAGAGAGAGACACACACACCACAGTGGAATATTATTCAGTCTTGAAAAGGAAAGAAAGGAAACTCAACATGCTACCACACAAATGTATCTTGAGGACAGTATGTTACATGAAAGAAGTCAGACACAAAAGGACAAATACTATATGATTCATTTTATATGGGATGCTTAGAATAGGCAAGTTCGTAGAGCCAGAGGTAGAATAGAAGCTCCCAGAGGCTGAGGGGAGAGGGGATGGGGAATTATTGTTTAATGGGTACAGTGTTCATCTGGGAAGATGCGAAGTAGACAGTGGTAATGGTGGCACAACCTGGTACTTAAAACTACTGAATTACACACTCACAAATGGCTAAAAGAGTAAACTCTATGTTATATATATTTTGCCACCAAAGTATAAAACAACTGAAAAGCAAATCATTTAGAGCAGTGACATCTCTAGAGGGGGCTACTCTGACCTTGTTCTGGTACAGAGAAACCCCCCATGTCACCCACTTTCCATTGACTAAACCCCGCTCCCCATGTTTTGACTCTCAAAGAGCTGCAAGAGCTGCTTTCCTCACCACTTCCCTCGCTCACCGCAGCTCTTCACCCCCAGCTTCTCCCTGGAATGCCCCCCCTCTGCTTGTCAGTGGCCTCCGGATACTTCCAGTGCCAACTTCTCTGAGAGGCCTTCCCGGATCATCTGGCCTGCAAGAAAGTGTAAGCTTGCCCTGAACTCCGGTGAGACTTGGCACTACCCATGTTGTCTGTTTCTTGGTGTCTGTAGTCATTTGTCTGCAAGTGACATCTTTTTCAAGAAATTGGCAGCAGAGATTGAGTCCTCCGCACTTTTTTTTTTTTTTTTTTTTTTGAGTTGGTGTCTCGCTCCGTCGCCAGGCTGGAGTAGAGTGGCGCGATCTCGGCTCAGTGCAACCTCCGCCTTCCGGGTTCAAGCGATTCTCCTGCCTCAGCCTCCCCAGTAGCTGGGACTACAGGCGCACGCCACCATGTCCAGCTAATTTTTGTATTTTTAGTAGAGATGGGGTTTCACCATGTTGGCCAGAACGGGCTCAATCTCTTGACCTTGTGATCCACCGCCTTGGCCTCCCAAAGTGCTGGGATTACAGGCGTGAGCCACTGTGTCCCGCTCCTCTGCACTTTTAATCCTCCCAAAATACTTGCTCTTGTTGAGTGGTAGAGAAGAGGCCACTCAGTTAAATAAGTAAAGACGTGGCTCTGTGGTCTTCCCTACTCCAGAAACTCCACCTACATTTTTGAGAAAAGATGATTAACTTGGTCTGGAAATCAAGACACCATCTATCCTTAGTGACCTTAAAGCTGGAGTGTCACTAATGGGTCACAAAGCACCTGCATTCACAGAACACTTGCCCATCAAGAATGCTGTGGGTGATTTTGAACTTGGATAACTTAGTTTAAAACCAAACCAGTTAAGGTTCATGATAAATCATATTGCACAACGAATGTGATTTTTCTTTCAAAACCAACTTCTGTTATATTTTATTTCTGGTGGGTCATAAATTCCATGAGAGAAAGAGACCACCAACTTCCCCCGGGGATGCCAAGTGCCTACCAGAAGGGTTTGCCCAGAACAGGCTTTTGAAAGCAACTCATGGCAAATGAAAACTGTCCCCAACAGAAAGGATAGCAGTGCCAAATAGGGATGATGGTAACATCAGCCAAATATTTATCCTGAGGGTTAGAGGAAATAGTCTCTAAGACAGCATTTGTCTAAACGAAGCTCCGGATGGATAAGCTGTTGGTCTTATTAGTGGTAATAATTCTAGTGACGATTAAGATCCCTTTCCCACTCTTCCACCATATTTAACCACTGTTTTCCCCCATCCAACCTAACAACATTAGAGAAATGAACTCATGCCAAGTTTACAGCCCCCAGAAACAGTGGGTCCCCAGTGCTGAGCACTCTGCCATCCCAAGCAGTCACTCAACGGAGAGATTAAAAAAGCCTCCTTTCAGTTTTATTATGACTATTAGTAACTGTTAATTAGGGTGTTGTGGGAGCAGCAATCACTTCCCCCCATTCTCACGGTGCTAATTACTCTTGGCTTTGCAACCCGCAGAGAAAAAAGGCCCATGACTCTGCCGGGAGAGTCTTTATTTACCTTCTCGTATGATCATTCCTATCTATTTTGAGCTGCATACCATTTAAAAACAGCTGTAGAGAAGCCCTTTTGTTAAAGAAAGAACGTGATTTTCCTATTTTTTTTTTTCTTTTAATGATAAAAGCCCTGTTCACAATGCCAGGCTGCAGATCTTGGTGCTGTACTCTCGCAGGTCCAGGGCACCGGGATGGTGCTGGGTGCTGGGCTGCAAGGCACTGGCCAGGTCAGGCTCTGTCTGGATTTTTGGCCAAGCCTTTCGGTCAGGTTGTAAGGCGATCTGATGGTTTTAGCAAGGCTCCCTTTCATCTGTATCACCTCCTGCCACTTGAACATTATGGTCCAGCTCTAGTAAGTTCCCATTGCCCATGGGCAGCCCCAGGCTCAGACGGCTCTGGGTCAGCTGGCTCTGGTCAGCACAGGAAGTCAGGGTGGTGATGACTTTTGGGACAGGTAGTGACTTGGAGGGGTCACAGGTGCCTCCGGGTGCTGGTAATCTTCTTCTGCCTGACTTCAGTGCTGCCTGCATGACTGTGACCCCTGTGGAAATCCTCCTACCTATTTACTTATGAACTACGGACTTTGCTGGATGTATGTTATACTTATTTAAAAAAGTATTTTATTTTTATTTTTTTAGGAGACAGGATCTCACTCTGTTACCCGGGCTGGAATGCAGTGGCATAATCATAGCTCACTACGGCCTCCAACTCCTGGGCTCAAGTCATCTTCCTTCCTCAGCCTCCTGAGTAGCTGGGACTACAGGCACATGCCACCATATTTGGCTCATATTTTAATTTTATTTTTACTTTTTGTAGAGTCAGGGTCTCACTATGCTGCCCAGGCTGGTTTCAAACTCCTAGCCTCAACTGATTGTCCCACCTCGGTCTCCCAAATCGTTGGGATTACAGGCATGACCTGTCATATCTGGCCTTAAATAATTAAGGAAAAAACCTTACACTTAAATGATTAAGAAAAAACACCCCCCAAAACAAACAAAAACCTTCCACTTAAATAATTAAGAAACAAACAAACAAACAAACAAACAAAAAACTAGCCTCATCAGCGATTGGTCATGTGATTCTGGGGAGGCCACCTAACCTCACTGGGCCTTGATTTCCTTCTCTGTAAAATGGGGCCAATAGTTCCTACCTTACAGAGTTGTGGTCAAAACTAAATAATACTGAGTAAGATACTTAGCCAGAGCATGGAAGACACATAAAACAACCCAGTCACCATTATTAATGCTGCGACTGTTATTATTAATGTGTGCAAATGGCCAGACATAAGCTGGCCAGACATAAGCATCAGGGCACTGGCCATGGCCATAATACAGCCAGACTTGACCATCTCCCCTCAGCAAGCAATGCTCTGCTATTGGAATGTTTCCGAGTTTCTCTTGATAATCTGTACAGTAATGAAAAGTGGTTTCTATCCATCCAGCTTGCATTTTCCTCTTTTTCTGGTACCAGAGTCTGGATTTTGCTTCAGGAAACCTCATTCTTGGTCTCCGCAGTTGAGGTCAGATCGACCCCCTCTGGCCCCCTCTCTGCTGGGATAATCAGCATATTCTAATATTTTGGCTATAAGTGACCTGGGATCAACCCCAGGATTCTTGCTGACGTGGTCAGGAAAGTGGCTCCCTCCTCCCACTGCCAGTGCTAAATTTCCTAAATTATTTTGCCATCGTTAAATAAAATGGTTCAAGAAAGCCGGGAGTAGTGGAGGGTGGGAAGGAACCTACAAGACGACCTGCTGGGAACCAAAGCAACTTGGGGGACAGCAGATCTGAGGCCCGAGGAGACGGACAGATTCTGGACGATGTCAGGATCGCTGGGTCTCTCCAATGCCAGGGACGACCTATATGACTCATCCGGTCTGGGAAACAATGAAGGGTTCATTTTGTTTATTTTTGCTTAAGCCAATTTAGAAAGCATTTGAGCTTCTATCAAAGAAGTCCTCAGTCTCACCGTTGCAGGGGTCCATTAATTAATAATATCTGTATTGCATATACTTTTTCTTTTTTTTTTTGGAGGCAGTCTCGCTCAGCCCCCAGGCTGGAGTGCAGTGGCATGATCTTGGCTCACTGCAACCTCTGCCTCCCAGGTCAAAGTGATTCTCCTGCCTCAGTCTCCCAAGTAGCTAGAATTACAGGTGCGCATCACCATGCCCAGCTAACTTTTGTATTTTTAGTTGAGATAGTTTCACCGTGTTGGCCAGGCTGGTCTCGAACTCCTGACCTCAAGTGATCCTCCCGCCTCGGCCTTCCAAAGTGCTGAGGTTACAGCCGTGATCCACCGCACCTGTACCTACTATTGAAGGTAATATAGATCTCTCTGATCCTGACCCCCATGGACCTCTCCCTACCCTTGGCCTCTTCATGCCCAAGACCCACCATCCTGGCCCACACACAGTACAGCTCAGCTCCTCTTCCCATATTTCGAAAGCACCAAAGCAAAGATCTCAAAGGCGGCACATCTCATGGGTCTATTACTGTGTGAGTGTAGGAGCATCTGTTTGACCAGGCTCAGTCCCAGGTGCCATGGTACGGTTACAAAGAGGAGCAAGCCTCTGTCACTGAGCCATGGGTGTTTGTACAACCCAGGCAGGCAAGACACACACTGAACCCTGGTGACTCCAGGGTCACTTCTACGTCCCTGGCTTCTGCTACCGTGGCTGCCCACAGGACAGCCTCAGCAAATGAGTTTTGAACTGTGCTCAATGGCTAAGACAGAAATTGACAAAGCAATTCAAAAGCAAGAGAGTTTGCATCTCACCAGATGGAGTGATTCAAAGAAACGTCATTGGAGCTGACACTTCATGAGAGTTTCGGTGGGGAGGGAGATCACAGCAAGTGAGAAAAGGCACAGGGAGAGAAACCTTCAGCCTTATTGTCCCAAGACTGCAGCACAGAGAGACGAGATTGGTTCTTGGTGGTGGATGAACTGACTCATTTTTTTTTTTTTTTTTTTTTTTCGTTCACTCATTCCTTCATTCATTCAATCAAGCATGCAAGAATGCACTTAGTTAATCCAACAAGTATTTATTCAGTGCCTGAGTCATCCCTGGCATATGGTAGTTGCTCAATGAACGAATGAGCTTCTATTTTGTATCTGCTGTGCAGTTAAGTGGGAGGGGCACATTCATGAATAAAACAGACCTAGGCAGCGTCTCTGCCATCACAAAGCTTGCAATCTAGCAGCTTCTTCACAAACATTTATCCAGTGCCTACTATGATCCAGGCCCTCTTCTAGAGGCTGGGACGAGGCAGAGCACAGGACAGACAAGGTCACTGTTTTCAGGGAGCTGACATTATTGCAGTTGGAGAGGACTCCAATAATAGTTCATCTTTTTGTTCTGTTCAACCAAAGTTGGAGGGAATTGCTGTCCACATTGGGATGATTCCAAGGGGGAGGAATCTTTGCTTGGGGATGGTTCTATTTTTCTGCATAGCCATATCATAGTATCAAGAAGGCGAATGTGCCTTCCTACAAGGAAAATCCTAAACAAAACAAAAAACACTCCGAAAAAGAGTGAGTCAACGTGGAATCAGTTAACAGAAACACAATATTTGGATTCTGGCTCGAACAGCAAGGTTTAGATGCATTTCAGGGCCCCTCATCAGTTTCTCATAAAACATGCCACCAGACTGGAATTTTATCAAAGTTTGCTATTGTTTAATATGCCTTGAAAGAGACTTTGCCTCCAAGGACCATTCTGGAAAGCTGATACTTGAGAGGGGAGTGAGAACATCTTGGCTATGAAGCCCAGCAGGTCTTGAAACCCTGGAGGGAAGTGCCCCTTCTCCCTCCCTCTCCTTTACAGTTCAGCCAGTAGCTCAGCCTCAGGTAAGAAAAAACAGAAAGACACCTGGTTCGATAATAGCAAAACTCTAACCACGCTAACCTGCCCTTTTCAATATGTAAATAGTTGTCCTGTCAAATTTCAGGACCTGACGGGAGACTCTGCTAGACATTCCCTTCCAGGAGGCCCAAGAGAGGAGGCTGGAATGTTTAGAACTCTAAAAGCCAAAAAACCCAAGAAAACATGGTAGGTCTCCGGTCTCCAAGTGCCCACGGGATTTGCCTGAGCCGAGCCAACCAGAGCCATCTGTGCCGCCAGCTGCCCCTCCGCCACCTCCTCCTGCCTGACGTTGAGCAACTGTGTGCTTCAGGCACGGTGCTGGGTGCTGGGGAGGCAAAGACGGTTAAGAGGGAGCTTCCCTTCTGGATTATGTCACAGGGGAGAAAGACAGGTCCATTTATTCATGCATGCATTTACAAATGAAGCACCAATCATATTCAGGCCTTAGATGCAGAGCAAATAAATGACCCACTCCAGCAGCTCGGGACAGGACCAGTACACAGGACCTCCATGGTAGCACGAGGGAGAGAGTGAGGGCATGGTCCTGCCCCAGCTGCCGGGAGAACGTGCCCTCAGAGAAGCGTGTTCCAGCACAGAGGTCCTTCCCACTCCCCGCCACATCTGTGAACAGAGGGTAGGACCTGCCACCCGCACAGGCACCATGGAGGGAAAGTGGCTGTCATTTCCCAGGAGATGATAACACTGAACTTCCAAATGCCCTGTTATTCCTACAGTTAGTAACTAGAACCCCCAAAGTCCAGTAAAGGTGGACTCTTTCCTGTTTGGGGGATGGTGGGAAGAAGGGCTGAACAAAGAACAAGAAATCAAGAGACCATCTTGATGCCAGGAATGGCCCCAGGTGCAGCTCAGAATCACAGCAGTAGAAGCCAGAGACAGGAGTGCTGGCAGCCAGCGGGGGAGAGGTCTGTGGGGCTCAAACCAAGCCAAGGAGAGAGGGGCTACTGAGGGATTTAAAGAAGAACCATCCAATGTAACTCATGTTTTTTGTGGGGGCAGAGGATAGGATGGAACTGGGGTAGGTGACACTTTTTTTTTTTTTTTTTTTTTTG